GGAGACTCATCGTCGAGGCGTCGGGACATGGTCTCCTAATCCTTCTCCTTTTCATTTTCTTGCCTATTTAACTCCATTTCTCTCGCCTTTGCTTCATCTCTAGCCTTGTCTTGCTCATATGTTTAACCTGTCTCATTCCATATTCAGTGCATGTTGGTGAGCCAGTTTGTCACCTATTTTGAATAATCATTATTTGAAGAACTCCCTCTTGAATCTTTTTTCTTAGTAACCATCTTACTAATAGGCCTTGAGGTTTCTTCAATTCGTGTGACCGATTTAATTGGGGTCTCCCATGATGACTCTTCAGTAGTTGATTTGTGCAATGGAGTCTTGTTCAACTGAACTTGTGGACCAATAGGCAGAACTTTGTACTTCGGAGTATGCTTCACATGTTCCAACATTCGTGCCTTGTGAATGATTTCTTGTTATAAAGATTGAACCTCATTTGAGCTTGTAGTTGCTGAAAAAATTGTGAAACAACATAAAGATTTACATAACAAGTTAAAAAAACATATAAATTACATTTTAAATTTATTAAATAGTAAAATCATATTGCCACACTGGCTAAATTATTACCCCTTCGATAAATTCCTTCTGCTTTTGCAAGGGGCTTCTTGCCAAGCTTTTAAATCTTTGTGCAGGTGTTCGTACTTACTCGACATAGATTGCTTACTCCGGGAAGTGCCTTGAATCTGCTCGAAAAATTGTGCATGAATCTTTTTCCACATATGTTGCACCCTCATCTCATTTCCCGTGATCGGGTCATGAGTAACAAGCATCCAAGCCTGAAGCAAAGCATATGTCTTCCCCAATTGGCCAATTTAACTTCTCATTCATTTTTCTTGGTAACAAAAGGATTTGGGAGGTAGAAAAAAAATTATAGGAGATTGTAGTGAAAATAAATATTGAGTTGTGATGTGGAGAATGAAAATTATGATTAGGTATTTGTAGAAAAAATGTTGGTATTTTTTTAGATTTTTTACTGTTAGAATAATCTTAACCATTGGTTGTCAAAATTATTATTGTTGGATGCCCAAGATCTTGCCATGTGGCAGTTGAAGAAAAAGCTACAACTTTTTATCGTTGGAAATCTAACAGTCTAGATGCAAAGACCATTGCAAAGTCCAACGATTGGGTTTGCATAGAAAAAAAGTTGTTTGACTTTGTGTTGTGCCAGGTTGGGGGGCAAAGCTGGAGGGGGGCTCTGTCTCCTGCTGGCATCTGTCACGCTAAGGGGTGTAAGCACGGGCTTCAGTTGCAAGGGAAGCTCAACGGGTTGATGCTTTTGGTCCAATTGCCTCTCTTATTATTATTATTGAGCCAAAGGGATTGCATTACCAGAGATGAACCCCAGATGGGGTATTTATACTGTGGGGAGATAGACATTTTCAAGATAAAATCCTTGTTCTTTGTCGGTAGAACCCTACAGGATATCTAAAAATAGATATTGCACTCTCTTAGGAGTTGTGACTACTTGCGGTACACTCCAATTCCTAGATTGTAGGAACTTTAAGAATTAATAAGGATTTGATTATATCCATATCCAGATCATATCCTGTGTCTTGCAAAACAAGTATGGTTATCCGATGGAGTCACTCGGACTTCGCCTATTGCCCCGAAACAGAGTGATGGTTCCACCGCTGCTCCATTGACAACTCATATATTTCATACATTTATACCATCCATTCCTAGTCCCTTTGTGATATTTTTGAGTTAAACTGGTGCATTTTACCCTCTTTTGTGTTAGTATGTAGCTAATTGTATTTTAGAGTTCAATTGAGGACAAATAAGGCAAAATGGTGCTAAAAGTGGAAAATTGAATAAGGATGCTGATGTAGACAAAGAATTAAAAGTGGAAATTGAATATCGTGATGAATATGGCTCTTTATAAGACAATAATAACAAAAAAAATGTGGGAATTAAATGCCCAATCACTGGGATGTATTAGGCGAATTTCATTCTGAGCGAATTTCACAACTTCAGCCACTATTTTTCTCTCTTTTCATCTACACTCAAAACTCCACCCATTCTATACTCTCCAACATCATGGAAGACTTATCATGACAGGCTGTTCTTGGAGAAGTTCAACATCAGAATTGCTTCAAGGGTTTCCTCTCTCTTTGATTTATTTTCTCTCATATTGTGTATTTCCAATTTCATCTCTGTGAACAAGATGTGTAACTAAATTCAAAGCTAGGGATTTCGATGTAGCCTTGCACAATTGATCCATGTTTTTATGTAAAAATATTCAATTCATCAATCTGTCTCTTGTTTCATTCTCTAAATCTTTTGTTAAATTTGTTTGTTAATTTTAATGATTGGTCACCATTAGTATTTCTTACAAATCATTTGATCAAGATTATAGTAAACATCATGCTTAATCTTGGCATCATGCTTAATCTTGGTAGACATGTGAATGAATGAAGAGAATGCTATGCAAACATCCTGCCATGTAGTTTCTTTGGTTCTTTAACGTTTTCTTGCATGCTAAAGACTCTTAATTTGGAACCGAAGTTGAACATCCCAATTAGGTTTTAGATTAGGAGAATTTGATCAAAACCACACATCATATGGCTGATCAAATATATGTAAAACGAACCCTAGTCGTAGATTGGAGAGTTGACTGCATTTTAACTTTATAAACATGGAATTGGTTTTGGAATTGTGAACTCAAAATCCTTGGACCCATCCTCATCGTTTCTCAATCAACATATCATTCGTTGTTACATTTTTCTTGCATTTTTAGTTATTCTCATTAACAGCACACAACCTACATTTAATTTGTTATTGTTTAGTTAGGGTTCTTTCAAGGCTAGTAATTTATAGAGGTCTAATCAGTCCTTGTGGTTTGACACCCTCACTTGTGCCATTATACTAACCATATATTGCACTCAGAAGGAACACAACATCTGTTTAATATAGCTCTGATCAGAGTTGGTGAGTCCATGACCGGACTTTTGAGGTAATTGTATTTGGATTAGCCTTAATCTGGCCCTAAAAAATCATGATCCCACAAGAATAAAAATAAAATAAAATAAACAAAATATATATTTTTCATGTTTATTACTAATCGCAAGCAAATATAGCTCTTTAAACCTACCAGATTCTTAGATTTCGTAAGTAAATATGAAGTTATGTAAAAAGCTGGGATTACTACGAGCTACGTTGCATTTGGTTCGCGAATTTTTTTGCTCCAACATACATGAAATCATTAACAAAAAGGAAGCTTAAAGACGACATGCCATGCAAAATAAATCTTACAAAGAAGTGGTGATATGATACATGTATAGAGAGACTGAGAATGAGTAGTTCAGAAACAGATTCCTCTTTGCTACTGACCAAAGGAGATTATAAAATGGGCTCAACTTGAAATGCGATCCATCGATGATGAATTGGGGGGCAAGAGTTAAACGAATCTTCAGCCACTCCATTGATACAAACCATCTAGTTTTAAGATCCATCATTTGAAAATCATCCCTCCAAATTAGACTTGACAATTTTTTACACGACCTGTTAACTTGACATGAAAATAACGGATTTTAGGTCAACTAGAGAAGAAAAAAGTTAGTTTGATAATTTAAAACTACTTATAAACCTTACTACAATAGCCATAGAGTTTAAAAATACCAAAGTGAGATTAAAAAAGTTCCAAAACACATTAAAAATACCATATCAATTTAAAAATAACAAAGTATTGTAGGCCTAATTTACTGAACAATTATAAAGGATAGAGATGGGGGTGGCTGGCGACACAGAGAGAGAAGATAGAGATGTGTAATTGTGAGGTGTGTAATATTCCACCTCATTGTGTCTTTATTTATAGTAGTGTGGAAGATAAATTCCTTACCCCAATAGGATTACAACTCTAATAGTGACACACCCAGACCCGGAATGTTCACTAGGACTTCGAATTGAGCTATGCTGGCCGACACCTGGAAGGTGACGAAGCCATAAAGTGTAGTGATGTGGAAAATGTGAATAAATTTAAATCTAAAATTGCCTAAGTATAATAGTGCGCTGTGAGCGGGAATGAACCCATTTCACACGTGATGTCAGAGTATAAGTACAATACAATAAAATCAAGTGAGAAATTGGTTCATTCTAGCTCACAACGTACTCTTATACTTAGGCACTTTTAGGTTTAAATTTATTCACATTTTTCACATCACTACATTTTATGGCTTCGTCACCTTCCAGGTGTTGGCCAGCACAGCTTGATTCGGAGTTCTAGTGGACATTATAATAAATAAGACTGTAACACTCCCCCTTGAGCGTGTATATACTCAAACAAAACATCACACTAGGTCTTTAGTGGATGAAGTCATCGGCACAACGGACGAATGTGAGTATCAAATTAAAGAAAGTATACATTGGCAGTAAAACTCAAAAAACCTCACTATGGGAAAATCTACAGTAGGTACAAAACCTATAGACTAAGAAGAAAAGTGAGAAGTATGCATAATGTCAAAAACAAACGTCATACGGGCCGAAAGTAGTAAACCTCAAAAAAGTATGATCATCCCAGGATGAGTGCCTCACCAAAACCTCGTTAGGTAGCAAAAATCCAGTGGGAAAAATGTTCCTAATCATAGGAGAAAAGAGTACATTAAGATAAAGTGAGTATGCTTTTGGATACTCCCTCTGAGTTTGACATAAACTTCCAAATAAGAGAACTATAAGCTATTTAACTCAGAAAGTTTACGCATACTGATTTCTTGGACAACTTCTGAAAAATAGACTTGGACAACGACTTTGGGAAGAGATCGGCCAGGTTGTCCTGGGAATGGCTATGCTTGACTTAAATGTTCTAATGTTGTTGTTATTGGTGAAAATAAAAGAAGTTCGGCGCTTGGTCTTGTCTCCCTTGATGTACCCATTCTTCAGTTGATCGATACATACGACATTGTTTTCAAAGATTGTTGTAGGAACGTCAACGAAGGTAAAAAGACCGTTAGTGCTTCGAATATGTTCCATGATTGCTCTCAACTAAAACATTCACGTTAGGCTTCATGCAAGGTAAAAATCTCAGCATGGTTTGAAGAAGTCGCAACCAATGATTGTTTGGTAGACCTCCAAGAAATTGTGGTGTCTTCAACGGTAAAGACATAACCCCTTTGAGAAAGTGCCCTATGTGAGTCAGACAGATAACCTGCATCAGCATAACCAATAAGGCGAGAATGAACCTGAGGACCAAAAGGGGTGGCGGCTCCCCTCGAGGATTCATGGGTGTAGAATAAGCCCAAATCCATCATACCCTTGAGGCAGTGGAAAATGTCTTTAATACCATTCCAGTGTCTACGTGTAGGTGCATTACTGTATCTTGCCAACAGATTTACAGTGAAAGAGATGTCGGATTTAGTGCATTGAGCCAAGTACAATGAAGCACTAATGTCATTTAGGTATGGAACTTTAGCCTCCAAAATCTTATCCTCATCCTCTTTAAGATAGAAAGGATCTCGTTTAGCATCTAGGGTCCGAACAACCATAAAAGTACTCGAAGGCTTCGCTTTATCCTTATTAAAACGTCACAACACCTTTTGGGTAGAGTTCAATTGATGTATTAGGATTTCATTCGAACGGTGCTCGATTTCTAGGCCGAGGCAATATTGAATTTTCCCAAAATCTTTCATCTCAAATTTTGATTTCAAGTAAGCGGCAGTTTCCTCAAGCTCTTTGGGAGTCCCTATGAGATTCATGTCATCGACATAGTTTGCAACGATTGCACATTTGAAATTTGACTTCTTAATAAACACGCATGAGTATAGTTCATTATTCACATAACCCTGACTTGTCAAATATTCACTCAGATGGTTATAACACATCCGTCCAGATTGTTTCAATCCGTAGAGTGATCCCTTCAATCGAATTGAGAGGGTGTTCCGTGGTTTAGAATTATTTCATCTAGTCAATGTAAGTAATTCAGGAACTTTCATATAGATTTCCGTATCAAAGATCCCCATAGAGATACGCGATTCCATGTCCATAAGCTGCATAGTCAATTTTTCGGAAACTACTAAATTGATAAGGTAGCATAATGTTATGACGTCCATTAAGGGAAAATACTTCTCCCAGTAATCAATCCCAGGGCGTTGAGAGAAGCCTTGCTATGAGGCGTGCTTTGTATCGCACTATTTCATTCTTTTCATTACGTTTTCTTACGAAAACCCACTTGTAGCCCATGGGCTTAACATATGGTGGAGTAGGAGCTACAAGCCTAAACACTTAACGTTTTGAAAGCGAATAAAGTTCGGCCTGGATTGCTTGTTTCCAATTTAACCAGTCAGTTCTACATGAAAATTCATCACCGGAACATAGTTCAATGTGATCGTTAAGCATGATGTCGGTAGCTACTGTGTATGCAAAGGCGTCGTCAACGATCATCTCATTTTGATACCAAACCTGATCCAAAAGTGCGTAATGGACCAAAATCTTACGATTCTCGAGAGACCGGTTTGTTTCGTATAAGACATCAATGTAATCCAGAACAACCTCATGCATTGGAATGGATGAGTAAGCGATGGTCAGATTCATACTAAGATCACTAGTTTGTGCCATTTTCTTATTCCAAGGTTGTGAATCCTTTGAACCAAGAGGTTTGCCACACTTCAGGGTAGGAGCATATGATTGGCTAGTTGCCAGCGTACAGGGTTGCGTGAGAGGTACATCTGACCCTTCTTTGGGGACGACTTGTCATTCTAGGACAATGTTATGGAGTACTTTAGGTATGTCGATCATTGTAGGTGTGTTTGTAGCTGGTATATGTGATCTCGTCATCTTAGCTAGATCAGTGAAAGCATTCGGCATGCTTTTAGCAACGCTTTAAAGATCTAGAAGACGACGCACTCTAGTTTCAAACTGGGCAGTGTGGAGATCTAAATGAGACATAATGGGAGCAAACCACGACAATTTGTGGTGTTCTTATCTCCCCCTAATGACAGGAAAATTTTCTCATCAAGGTGACAATCTGCAAAGCATGCGTTGAAGAGATCTCCTGTCAAGGGCTTTAAGCAGCGAATAATTGATGGTGAAACATAATCGATATAGATTCCCATTCTTCTTTGAGGACCCATTTTGTATGTAGTGATGGCATTATTGGCACAAAGATAGCGCACCCAAACGCACATAAATGTGAGACATCAGGCTCGTATTTAGTAACCAACTGTAATAGTGAATAAGATTAGGTAGCGGTGGGCCTTAGGCGAGCTAACATAGCTACATGCAATATTGCATGGCCTCATGTAAATACCAGCAATTTGGTTCGCATAACCAAAGTCCGAGTTATCGATTAAAGGCACTTTATGAAAGCGTATGCCAGGCCGTTTTGGGTACGAACACGAGATACATGATGTTCAACTTTAATTACAACTGACATGCAATAATCGTCAAAAGATTGTGGTGTAAACTCTCCAGGGTAGTGAGCCCTAAGTTTAAAGACTTGAGCTAGGAGTTTCATAAAAACAGCATTGCGTATGGACAGTAAGCAGACATGTGACCAACATGTCGATCTATCAACCAACACCATGAAGTATCTAAATGGTCCGCATGTTGGTTGGATAGGTCCACAAATATCCCCATGAATCCTCTAAAGAAACTTGGGAAAGTTTTGATTAATCTTTGTGGATGAGGATTGAGTGCTCAACTTCCCTAAATAGCATGTTTTGCAAGTCGGGAGTCCAATATAAGAGGTTATATGATGCCCGTGTGAAGATTTGAGGATACGGCGCATCATATCTCTTCCAGGATCTCCCATACGAGCATGTCAAAACAACAAAGTGCTTTGGAACCTAGGTTAAGGGCCAACCCCACATGGTGGATCTTTATGGCTCGAATGGTTATGATGTATAACCCATTCGGGAGACGTTCCAGCTTCTCATGAATACGTTTTTGACCATATTCGTAAGAAGTGATACAAAGAAATTCAGAATCATTCTCTTTAGTGGTTTCAATATGGTATTTATTATCTCAAATATCTATAAAACTCAACGATGTTCTTCTGGAACAAGGAAAATAGAGTGCCTCTTTAATGGTTAATTCGGTGCCATTGGACAACATTATACTGGCCATTTCGTATCCCTTAATCAGGTTGAATGAGCCTGAGAGGGTTGTTAGAGGTGCATTTTTGGGTACGAAGTTAGTAAAATAGTGTTGCTCATGCAAGATGGTGTGCGTGGTAGCATTATCAGCCAGACAACTAACTTCCTCATTAGTTATACCTAGAAATAAATTAATTGAATTGGTCACATGCATAAATAAAATTCCATTCATTCAATTATTCAATCGGGAAATAAAATCCATAATTCAAAACAAACCAAACCAAACAAATTATTAAAAAAACTTTAGAAAAATTGTTTGAAAAATTAAACCACAAGCCTAAAAAAATAAGAGGGGTTCAACCACTAGGGGTAAAAACCACCCGAACATATCTTAGAAAAATAAACTTTATTCTTCCATAGGAGTGGATGTCTCCTGAATGCTGAAACATCCATAGTTATGGTAATATCTTCAGGATGTTCCACATGTGCAAAGTTAGACTCACGACGATGATACTTGGCTATAGCCTCATGAGTAGCTCGGCATACGCGTGACTAATGGTCCCTTGATCCACAGTGGTAGCACATGTCCAATTTAGTGGAATCGATTGAACAGGAATTTTCCCTTTTTGTTGAAGTTAGTGGCCCTAAGGGCAGATGAATGCCTTTCTGGGTCGAATTTCCTCCCTTGGCAAGGCCTCTGCTTTGTTGACCTTGGGCCCATGGTTGGGATTTCTTCCCATTTCCATAGCCATGACGGTTTAGCTGTCGTTTATGGCTGCTAGAATTAGTCGCATGCGCTTTAGGTGTAACGTTTGAGTCAGTGGGTCGAGCTTGAAGATTCTTCATCAAAATCTAGTTCTGTTTTTTAGCATGAAGTAAAACAAAGATCAAATCCAAAATTTTGGTGAACTTCTGTGCCCTATATTGTTGCTGCAGGACAATATTGGTGGCATTGAAGGTTGAATAGGTCTTCTCCAAGAGATCATGTTCAGTCAAGTCCTCGTTACAAAACTTGAGCAGTGATTGGATTATATAAACTTCAGAGTTGTATAGTGATCAGATTTTACAAACGTAGAGTTGTACACATTCACAGGCTTAATGTCCTGGAAGCGTAGATGCTGCCAGTCGTGCCTTGCTTCAGGCAAGTAAATGTCTTTTTGGTGATCGAAGCGATCAACCATGGCGAGTGAGAAGGCGCGTGGATCCTCTTTAGGGAGGTACTTGGTCTGCATTGCATTATGAATGTGTCTTCGGATGAAGATCATAGTCTGTAGCCTCTTCGATGGTGGGTCATAGACTTTTAGTGGTGAGATTGAGTTTCACGTCTTGAACCCACTTCAGGTAGTTTCTTCTATATACTTCCAAAGTGGTGAAATCAAGCTTGTTCAAGTTTGACATTTTCTTAAAGTAGAGGGTAAAAAAATGTGGTTAGTCATATGGGAAGTCATAGACATACAGTTTAGAACATTCAAGTTTTATAGACATGTATAGGTTTAATTTAAACATGAAAGCTTCAGGTTTCATGGTGTAAGTTGTGAATGAAAACTTCGGGTTTCAAAGACACTAAATTTGAAACTATAGGTTTGGTTTTAGTTATGTACATCTAGTTGAAAAAAACGAGGTACCTACAAGAACACAGAATACAAGGTATAATCTTAAGTGCAGTGGATTTGTGTTGCTTCAGGAACTCAAGTGTGACCGCTTCAGGACTCTAAAAGAGAGTCACGTTCAAAGAAGAAAAATAAATTATTGAATTGTTAATGGCCAAAAGTTGGCTTCAGTCCGATAATTTTTTATCTCTTATTATATTAATGGACTGCTGGTCACTTTTAATTAATTTAATAGATCGGGACTATTCGGGGTCGACCGTGGAAGTAAAATAATGACATTCAGGTCATATTAGCTTCGATTAGTTGCGAGCCAAGCAATAAGAAAATTATAACTTAATTAGTGTTAACCGAAATGTCCCAAAAAAATATATGGGTATGTTATGAAACGGGGATGCCAAAAGATGGAATCGGGTTAAAAATTAACTGCACGGGGCAAGGCCCTGCAGCTCAGCTACAGGCCATTGGGCCACGGGAAAGCTGTCGGGTCGTGGGTCTGGGATAAAACCTAGCAGCGCAACGCTGCTAGAGGTGGGCCAAAAGGAGCGGGGCCAGCAAGCCCAGCTTACGCTGGCTTAGGTTGGTGCGCGACGAAGCCCAGCATGCACTGGCTTCGAGTTTTGGGCCACGACATTGCAAACCCCGCAGCGTAGGGGCTGCTGCAGGTGGGCCGAGACGCAGGAACAAGTCCAGCAAGCAACAAGCTTGTTGGTTTCGGGTAGGGGTACGAGGACAGAGCCCAGAAAACATCAGGCTTACTAGAAGTGGGCCCATGTGCATGGGACAGGCCTAACAAAGGCTGCAGGCCTACTGGAGTGGGTTGGGGCTTTAGGCCCATGGAAAACC